ATGCTGTGAGGAAACCCTTTTTTCGTATGTATTAACTAAGTGACAGGGAATGAAAGAATGTTGATAGTGTAACTACTGACTTCATAAACAAACATTGAGGCCCAGTCAAGTGAATGGAAACATTTTAAATAAGTGTGTGGAGAATACTGGCTTTTCATTCACTTTTTTTAAAAATCATTTTTGAATATTTTTCCCAACTTTTTGTCATCATAATTTATGCTCCCTTACCGCCTTACTCAATCTCTAGTTACATTAATTTGGAAAAAACAGCCTTATTGGTATCATTTAAAGTTTATAATTAGAGTTGCTCATGAAGAAATACATTGTCGCACTAAATTCTCTCAGAATTTATGGACTGTGAAGCTTCATCTGAAGTACAAACAGCAGAGGATTTCAAATTTTGAGATATAAATGCTGGTATTTATTAAATATTAACTCATATAGGTCAATTTTCTAACATTATTCAAGTATTCAATTAGGGAAGGAAAATGTAGATACCATAATGGACTAACCCCTAGCACCATGAAGCTCAGGTCACAAGTGGAAGTGCCTATGGTTGAGGTAATGAGCAACTGGAAGAAACTGGGCATGGACCCTGACTTTCCTGCCATAGGTTAGCTTACTACAAAGCTAATACAGACTCCAATGTATGACTTAAGGAATATGGAAAGTTGTCACAAAAGCAATATTAGCTCACATCATTCACTTCCCTTAAAATAACACATTGCTTTGTACTTATCGGAAGATTGAAACCTCCTTGTTAGACTACTGCATTTCATATTCTTCATCATTTTATTATGTTTGTTAGAAATAAATGTGTGCTCCACTAGAACAACCATCATACTAATTTGAGAATGCAATTGTACTAGAAAAGATCAGATTATCATCTAACTGACAGAGTGTTACCTATTACTTAAATAACATCTTAATATTGCAAAGTTTTTCATTAGAACAAATTCCTGTTCTTGGTAAAAAGGGAAAATGAAGCAAACAACCTTATTTCCTATACAGATATATTGGTTGTCATTGTAAAAGTGACCTTAGAGATACCCATTAAGCCTCATTGCATTGCTTAATGTCCCTTTGGTTCTATCATAAATTGAGATCATGACATTATGAGAGTATTTATAGAGTTAATACTTTCCAGATCTCATCTGGGATTATCTTTCTTTAGGATTTCTGCCAGTTCATAGGAAAGACCCACGTGGAAATTGAGAAAACATCCGGAGACTTCTTCGAAAAACTGTATTCTTCCTAAATTCATACTTTTTTATTAACATATGTAAATTGAAGGTGGAAATACCATGTACTCTAAGCCATGTGGGAGTAGCCTGTCTCTAAAGAATGACTTATAATGTTCATTTGAATGGCAGAGATGCTGAGAGCTCCAACTCAAAGCTCATCTGGGCTGTAGTCTGAATCAGTCCCCCCGTGAACTCTGCAGGCATTTTATGACAAGCGTACACATGTGTATGAGGCATGTGACCTCATTGGCAGTTATCTGCGTGTCAAGGGCTATTGGCAGATGCCCAAGAATTGATTGACACATATCTTACAGAACTGGAGTTAATTAATATGTCTAACAATTCCCAAATGTACTGCAAGAAACAGAAAATCTGTTTAATACAACAATCAGTGACATACTGTGTGTGGTCAAAAGGTATTCACTAGACAGCAAGACTAGGTTTTTAGAAGACATTATTTAAGGGTGTACAGAAAACTAATAAAATGCTAGAAGAGGGAAAGAAGTCTATTTTCATATTTAGAAGGGCTCTATTTAGTTGGATTTCAGTGGGTTTGTTTTTTTATGATTCCTAAAATGCAAGTAGTAATTTTCTCCTATGAGATTCAAAGGTATTAAAAGATGAGCGGAGCCTCGATTTTTTTCAAAAATAATGATTTAACTACTTTGGCCTTGTGCAATTAAGTTATTAAGCCCATATGCAATATTCTAATAAGGAGGTTTCTACAATCTTTGGAACTAAGTGTAAGATGGCGAGTTATTTCAAGGGAAGTATATTGCAAAGAGAAAATTGCATGTGAAAATATTGATGACAGCCTTAACAAAAACTAAAAGCAA